AATTCTGGGGTCCACACTCTGAATTCACATCAGGTCAGCTACTTATTAGGTATGTGACTTCTAGGAAGTGACATAAATTCTCTGCATCTTTAAAATGTGTTTCCGAATTGTTGAGAGATGTAAACTTGGAAGTGCATTTAAAAAGACCTGGCCTATAGTGAGCTCTAAATAAATGGCAGTAAATATTCTTATCACTGAACTGAATCAGTCTGGCAGAGATATGCATAAAGATAATCTTGATCAAGAAAATAATTTCTTACAAGAATGGAAAAGATCAAGTCTCCAGATTCAAAAATAGTTACGCCAATCAGAATATGAACTTTACCCCCATCCCCAACACACACACACACACACACACACTTAATGGATATTTAATAGTTTTTAAAGATGACATATAACTTCATGGTCTTCCAGTCTTTTCTATTTCTGTTCAGTGTTGAGCCTTTAGCAGAGACTAGCGAGAGACAAATTTGAGCACATCACTTAACTGGAGAAGGCTCTGCGTTCCCAGGCCTGTAAGTTGAAACTCTCCAGTTGAAAGTAGTGTTTGGACTGAGGAGGGGGTGTTACCGCTCCTCTTTCCCTCTCTACTCAGTAACGCCCCCCTTCTCCGCCCCCACCAACTTCTTTAGGCCTCTTAGCGCCTTTCTCTCCCGCCCGCCCAGCCTTCTGGTGTCTGGGCTGGGCGCAGGAGGCGGGCTCAGCGCTGACAGGCTGTGCCTCTGCAGCCAGAGGGAGGAGGCGGGAAGGCGGGCGGAGGAGGCGGAGGCGGAGGAGGAGGCGGGGACTACGCCGGGCGGTAGCTGGCGCCGAGCGCGGTGGGAGAGGAGAGGGTACCCGGCTGGCTTGGCTGGCGGCCTCTGCCCGCATCTCGGCGCCGCAGCCCTGCACCTCTCCCGCCCTTGTCGCCGGGTCCGCGGTCCCGGGCACGGAGGAGGCAGTGGAGCTCTAGGCCACTGGTAGGTTGCAAGGGGACCGCGGCTCCATCTGCAACCTTTTGTGCCGCAGAAAAGGTGGTGGTGATGGGTGGTTGTGAAGGTGGGGGGTTGCCCCAGTCACCGATCCTGGGTGCCAGTCCCAATCGCGGCGCCGCCCCTTCCTCTTTGCCTCGTGTCCGGGCCGGGCGCGCAGTGTATGCGCAGTGCTGGGGAATCCCGGCCGGGCTGGCCTCCGGGATGGGTGGCGGTGCGACCTCAGTGTCACTGGCCTTGGCGGGCCGGTCTCCCCGCATCCGTGTAGGGTTCTGAGCTCTGGGTGAACTGGGTGGGGCCCGCGCTGGTGCTGGGAGCCCGCAGTCCTTGGCACAGGGGTGGGGCTGGAGACGCCGTGAGTGTGCAGCGCGTGTGAGTGAGTGTGCGGGGGCGTGCGCCCCCGTGTGCGCGCGGCGTGCGCTCGCCAGGGAGGTGCGGGGATTCAGCGAACCCGAGCGCCTCTCTGGCTGTGCCGCGGTGCGGAAGTCTGGATGCGTTGGCGCGCGTGTTAGCCTTGGCCGCGGTGCCCTTACTGCGGGGCAGCAGGCCTGGGGACCCCTTTGACAAGTAGCTCTTTCTAGGCCTGCTGCGCCTCTGGCCGCGCCCTCTGTGGTGCGCTGGGTGCCACTGCCCGGGTCAGATAGCGCTTAGGGGGTGAGCCTCCAGGGCCTTATCTCACCAGCCCTCCTAGTCCGTGCTGCAACCTTCGCCAAGGCCGTCCGAGTCCGCTGGTGCGGCTGGGGTGGACGAGCAGTTGTGGCCCTGTGCGCGCCTGTGGATTGGGCCCGGAGCTTGCCAGAAGGGAAAGCGGCAGATGTCGTTGGTCATCGCCGCCCTAGCCCCACCTGTCGCGGGTGGACTTTGGGGAGGGTCGTAAGCGTAGGAAAGGGATTTCGAAGCGGGCAGCAGTCAGACCTTGAGTAGCGGCCCCATTGTGAAGCTGCCAAACTCTCTCTAGCGGTGGAATCTGCAAATCTCTGCCAGAATGGAGATGAAAACGCGAAGGGAATGGTGGCCCTGTCCTTTTCCCCTTGCAAGTGTTCCACATCCTTAGGGACTCCCTGCTTCTCCACCCACGCCAATGTGCACCGGGTGGGTTAGTGATTTGTGTCGAGCCAAGATTTCTGTGTGTTTATGCATATGTGTGAGGCTGTGGTGCACAGGTAAAACGGGAGCTGGGAACTTTTTCATCATTCAAAGAGAATGAAGAATGGAGGCAGTAGCATTTTGTAGTGTGCTTGCCACTCCTAGCCGAAAGAACTGTTCTTGTACAACGTTTCATTTTACATTATGTTTTTCAAAAACTAGCCTATAATTTCGGGTTGTTCGTTACTTTGTTTCTCTTTTCAATCCTGTGAAGCAGAATAGACAAGGGGAAATAGAAATGACACCGTCCCAAAGTTTATTTGCCCAGTCATTTCAGAATACAGTGTTGGTTATTATTGCAGAAGTTTTGGATACTTTATTAATTCAAAGACACAATTTATGCGAACACGACTATGTTTAATGAGTAGTTCACAGATTTCTTTGTATTTATTATGTAACTGTGCATTATAAGCTTTAAATGTTCAGGTGAAAGGTAAGAGTTAATGAGCACAGGAACCTCATAATTTGATATGCACTGGTATGTTTTTCGACCAGTTTTGGTTTATCTAATTGTGGTTGAGACTTTTAGTGTTAATTATTCCACAGTATAAGATACATTTATTGACTTTGCATAACAGTGAAGTTGCTTATTTTCTGTGTATCTCCGTAAATTTTGGAGAGCTCTTTTAATATTAACTCAAACATATTTGTCGTAGTTGGAATAATAAAACTTTATATATATGATTTAAAATTTCTTTGATGAGTTGTAGTTGGTGGGGCGGGGGGTGTCAGCTTATTTCTATCTGAAAGAAGTTTGATTTATGTCATCAGGCTATCAAAATGAGTACCTGGCTTTAAGCTTTCCTTTGGGAGGTTAGTCCCTCCATGTACACCTTTCCCTTTCATTATGTTTGGAAGACGCAGATTTCTTATAAAGACTGTGTGTAAATGTACAGTTCCAGTTATTGTCTGTCATATTTGCAGTGAAACTGAATATTTTCTCTAAAAGTAGAAGGATGACTTCACCTGGTAAGAAGATATTAGTAACCTGGGTTAATTTTTACTAGCAGAAATGGAATGAAAATGAATGCCACATTTTTTTTTTTTAAGGGAGTTGCTATTAAAAGAACCGATACTAGAAAGAGAAACACGTTTTTTTTGTTTTTTTTTTTTTGTCTTACTGAACCAATTATGGCTTGTCTTACCATGTTGGTGAAGTTAATGGTTTGTTTGTAAGGTCAAGGGTGGTTTTAGAAAAGTCACACCCTACTTAACTCTTCTTTAAAACCTTGGATGATTTAATTTTTGCAAATTGCAAATGGTAAAGTGAGATTATTTGAAAGTATCCTCTAAGATGAGCATGTAGGTACAGATTAACTTTTTGGTGTTGTTTTTTTAAAACACATTGTATGTTTTACTTTGGTAATTAGTCATTTTGTTTCTTTCCAATTTGGGATATTTTGGTACATCTCTCCCTTACTTGTTTTAGAGTAGTCTTTAATATAACAAAATATTTCTACTAGTCTGAATGGAATTTTTTTTAAAATGTACTTTCTTTAAACTGCTTTTTTTTTTAAAAAATGGCCTCTTCTTAAATAGCCACAGTGAGAAATACTGTTTCCATAAAGAAAAAAAAAAAAAAAAGTTTGGAAAGCAAGAATTAAACCTCACTTCCACTCTACTAATTTATTGGCCTAAAATTCACCTTGCTTTTCTTAGTGCTATTTTTAATGATTAGTGAGATTTATTTACCAAAATTCAGAATGGGTGTGTGGTGGCCTTCCTATTGATAACCTTATCATTTTTCAATAACAGATTTTTAATTTTTTTCTTCTTATTTTGGTCATGGGCCTGTGCTAAAGCCTCAGATTTAAGGGTGTGTGTATAGGATTTTGTGGGGACCTGAACATTTCAATGTAGGCTTTCTTTATTTGGGAGAAAAAAAATCTCATTTCTGGTTTCTTGGTATTATTCAAGTTTACTGTTCTCTGTGTTAGATTTATGTATTTCCATTTCTCTCTGTGTTATTCTCTTTGGCCTGAGTTTCCACTTTTTATATTTGCCCCAGTCTCTGAGATATATATTTGCTGAGATATTTAGTAAGATTCAAGAGATATTGTTGAATGACTAAGTGAACATTTGAATTCCTTAGTGGGTACAAAAACGTCTTCCTCAGACTTGGTGGAAAGCCACTGTACAAAGAGATGTTTCTTCCTTTAAAAAAACAAATCCATTGCCTTTCTATAACTATATATCACGTTTGAGTAGGATAACAATATAATTGCCATTCTGGGACACTTTTGAGAGTTAAAGGGGGTAACTGTAAATAATCATGCCAGGGGGTACTGACTGTGAATGAAGGCATACAATCACATCTACTTTTGAAGGACTTTCTTCTTTAACTGTGATCATATTTATCTCCTTACCTGAGAAATTGGACTCACTTGTTAGTTAATGTTTGCAAACTTTTCTATTTGTAGAATCTTCATTTGTAGTAGGTTGTTGGGTGCCTTTGTCTTAGTCATCTGTGGCTTCCCTATCCAGATGCTTGTGGGCAGCTTGTAGCTGCCCTTAATTTTTCTACTTTTCATTGTTTACAGGATAGTGACCTTGGGCTCTCTGTTTGATTCAGCTTCTCTTAGCTGGAAACATTGTGTCCTTTAGCCTTGGCTCTACTTTCTTCAGTCTGTTTCTGTGTAACATTTAGTGCCTATCTAAGAATTTCATGTAGGACCTTCCTCTTGCTGCTGGTGACAGGAGATCCATTGATAGATACCCTTCCAATCCTTCATGCCAGGATGAGGCCATAGCCATCTGCAAGTGTTAGAGGTTGATATGTTTTTAAAGTATACTAAGAATGGGTGTCATTGGAAAGACACATTTTTTTGGGGGGGGGTGGCATTTATATTACCATCTTTTAATTCCTGTTTATAGGAGATGGGGGTAAAAACCCTTAGTATAATTTTGTGGTAGATTTCTTTATAGGCAATCTCTTACAGAGGAGGTTTTTTGTTGTTGTTTTATTTTGTGATTTCTTACCTCACTTTTTCTTTCTTTTTTTTTTCTTTTTAACCATCCTTGTCTGCCTCCTCCTCTTGGTGCCTGTCAGGCATACTCAGTTAACACACATCAGAGAGAGTGGTGTGAGTAAACACCAGGACTGGAGTGGAGTGTCTCACCTTGGTTTCCCTTGAGTTGCTCCCTTGGGTACTGTTTGTCTTTTATTCTTGACTTGGCACCTGTATAACAGGGACAATCAGTTACTACACTTTGATTTTCAGTCTAAATTTGTAAAACTCTAAATGAAATCTGTCTTACTTTGTGATAAATGTAGCCCTGAAAAGTGAAATGAAAATACTTATCTATATTTGGCCCAACTGTATAACCAGCAAGTACTGACTGAAACTTTTTTCCCCCATGCCTTATAGTTTGTGATTTTAAAAATAGCTTGGAATTTCTAAGAAGTCCATGATTTATGAAGGATTCTGTATAATACCCTCCACTATGTACCTTAAAGTCTTAATGTTTTTCAAGTTAGAAGTAACCTTAGAGCAAGTAGTAAAAACTACCTCCCCCAACGATTTCACAAATGAGGTATTAAGCTTTTAGATAAAGTACCTCCCCAAACATTTAAGATAAGATTCCACTTTTAAAATGAATAAATACACATTTTTCAGAAACATGATTGTTATTTTAAAAGGTTGTGTTTATAACTGACCAGAGGCCACAGAGGCATGAAAACAAGGAAGTGGGCTTTGGAGCCAGACCAGGTGAGATTCAGTTCAGTCCTACACTGACTCTCAAATAGTATCCTTTGATCAAATATTTAAAGTGGGGATAGTAACTTCTATCATGGAATGAAGATTAAATGCCATAAATAACTTTTTTTTGGCATATAGAAAAAATAAGAATATTGGTTTCCCCATTGAAAATCCACTTACTGTAGATATCAATGTGACCCTTATAATGATAATATTGAGGAAACTCTTTGGGGGTAATTATATAAAGTAAAAAAAAATTACCAATAGGTGCCTATTTTTGCTACATTAAAATTCACTTTATGTTAAAACCAGAGGCTTCATCGTTGAGTTAGAACCAATTCTTAATTATCTAGATTTCTTGGTTACCCACTTTGAAAACACTTTCAAAATAGTGAAAGGTAACATGTCATTATTCACATCCAGTGAAATTCCAAAGGCTGATCAACACAAGTTCTTTGGAATGATGTTTTTGGTGCATGAACTCCTTCCAGTTTCTGGAACTAAAGAAACAAATACCATTAATTTAGTAAATTACCCATTTCCTTTGGCTAAAACTTATCTGTGTTAGATAGAAAAGTAATCAAGTGACAGCCTCCTTGCCTTTTCCCTTATAGTTTCTCTTCAGTTTGAGAATGCTGTACAGTTCTGTTAACACTTTTCCAGGCTCTGTGCCTGCATTGGTAAAATCAATCAACTCATTAATTCCCCCACCCCCCACCCCTGCCCCAGCTCCCTTTCCCCCAGTTGAACACAATAAACTAATACTCAACAACCAAAGAAACCTTTACAGGTGGAAAAGAGCTTTGGAGAATTTTCTTGATCTCAACACATTAACCCAATTAACAGGGGAGTCAGGAGATAAAGATAGATTCTCTTACACATTAATTCCCCAGTTAAGAGGGGAAAGACTCAGAGGAGATGCTAGAACCCTTAAGTAAGGTAGCAACTGAAAAGAAGTGAAAACAAGTTGTTTCTCTGTCTTAAAAAATATTTTCCAAGAGCTTCCCAATCACTTACTTCACAGCAATCTTATAAAGAATTTTTATTGTTGCTATATATGGCTCAAATGAGTAGACACCAAAAATTAATTGCATAATAATAACATCACACATCTGTAAAGGGCTTTGCAGCATGCAAAACATGTTCACCTACCTCATTTCATTTGATCCATGTAACAGATGTATTAGGGAGGAAGGGTGGTATTATTGGCCTCATTTTAAAGATTGCTATTTATGCAAGGTCAGGAGACAGAGAGTTCTTAGCAAGACCAGCACAAAGATCCCCACTCTTCCCTTGCTTTCTTAAACCCCAGCCTCAGCATTCTGTTTTTCTATAGAATACTGTTAATCTGGTAACTGCAATAGGACTAGGATGGTAAAAGGAACATGGTAAGCCCCTAACTTTTCTTGTATCTTTATTTAGCTTCATTAGATACTCTTAGACTGTAGATACAGTTTACCAGCAGAATACTGGGAACAAGCATGGTAACATGTTTGAGGATTCATTTAGCTGAATAAACTCAAAATTACTTTTTAATTGAATTAATTAGTTATTATATTCTATATAACCTGTACCTGGTACTACCTCCTGCTAATTTCATCCTGTTTTGCAGTTAGAATGCACATAATTGCTTTGTAAATTGTGTTACTTGTTAAATTACAGGTTTATTTTTGTATTTCATGTTTAGTATCTGGAGTAGAACAGAAAAATTATTATGCCTGTGCTCCTTTGGGACTCTTTGGAAATTATACAGTGACATCTTCTGGGATTTAGTCTGGTGAGTTAAAGTTTGCTTTTTTTGTTTGTTAACTAGTTGAATATGAACATGCTATCATAATGTGCTTTGAGGATTATATAAATAGGTGAATATGCAATATCAATGTATTATTGCAAATGTCTGTACTACATTTACAAAGTTTTTAATGGTCAGAACTGAAATTAGGATTGCAGTATGCTAACATTGTTAAAATGTTTGATTCTTTGAGTATATTTTAAAATTTCTGCAAAATGAATACATAATTTTGGAATACTATTTTAGAACATATAGTAGTTAAAGATAGTTGCTATAGTTTGGGGAAAATTTTAGTAAAAACATTAATCTACAAATGTAGGCGAAACAATCTGCAAAAAGTTCTAGTTGAACATACATAAAAGATGTCTAACAGGTGGAGCAAAGCAGAATCATTTTCACCTGATTATGTCACTGTTTACTACCAGTGTGGCATTCCTCTTAGCACACTGAATTAAAACTTTTAAAAGTATGCAATGATGTTGTCTCCCCCCACCCCCATGTGTCATCTGTGTGTTGACGTAGTTGTCTGTGTGACTTCAGGTCTTTGAATGGGGGAAATAGTAATGATCTTTGTAGCTCTTTAGCATTTTGAAAACTATATTTTTGTGATTCTATGCTTTGATATGTCATTCTGCTTGGCCAGTACCTTTGTAGGTCCTTGCTTTGAGTTATCTAGAGAGGTCATAATCCTTGGAAAATGCAGTTTCATAATAAAGAGATTTCTAAATTAGCAATCAGCTGAAGATTGATTCAGAGAAATAGGGAGAAATAAATGCCAATTACTATTAAGAAGATGTACCCAATCAAGTTTATAAAATGCATTTTAAAACATTAAAAAAAAATAGGAACACTACTAAAATTTCCAAGTTTCAGGACAAGAGCAAGAAGTTTGAAAAACATAAGTACGAGGTACATTTAGAGGATTTTAAATAAGAAATAATTTGACTGGCTCACTAACTCACCCAGTTGAAATAAAGCACAAACCTAGGAGTGGGTAGAAACTAAAGGAATATATTGGCACATGTGTGTGTGGCTATGTCTACCTCTATGCATATATGTGTTTGTTTATGTTATACTTGAATGTATATGTTATATTGTAAGTAAAGTAACATTCTAGCAGAATTACAAAAGGTGAAATGAATCAACATAGGAGGCAGCAAGTTTACATGTCATTAAAGGTGATCAGACATATACTAGATAACCTTTAAGATTCCTTGGGGGGAGGGGGCTGGTGTTGTGGCTCAGAGGTAGAGCAACTGCCTAGTATGTGTTAGGCACAGGGTTCCATCCTCAGAACCACATAAAAATAAAGATACTGTGTCTACCTAAAACTAAAAAATAAATATTTTTTAAAAAGATTCTTTTGGATTCTAAGATTGTACAGTGTAAAATATTATAAAGTCTGGAGTACCATCTTAAACTTGGAAATATATGACAAAGACTTCTTTTATTTTTCAATGTCAGTTCTTTTTTGGGAGGGGAGGCGGTTACTGGCGATTGAACTCCCGGACACTCAACCACTGAGCCACATCCTGAGCCCTATTTTGTATTTTATTTAGATAATGGGTCTCACTGAGTTGCTTAACCCCTCGCTTTTGCTGAGGCTGGCTTTGAACTCGCGATCCTCCTGCCTCAGCCTCCCTAGCTACTGGGATTACAGGTGTGCACCACGTTGCCCAGCTAATGTCAGATTTTTGAAGTAAAACTTACATATAGTAAAATTCAGTGGATTAAAAACAATACATTAGGAGGAAGGCCTTAGGGACAGGTTGTTAGTGATTATTAGTGAAATAGGAAAAATTATGTCTATCAACATGACTAAAAAGAGATGGGAACTTAGGGGAGTAAAAATTTCTTTAATCTGATTAATTTCAAATTATATATATAAAAAAAAAAAGCAGGAGCTTGGGTTAAATTCTCCTATTGATGTGTTTTATATACAAGTTCCCAAAACTCAATGCATATTAGAGACACCTGGATTCATTTTTAAATGTAAGAGCCCAGATATACCCCCATTCAGTTAAATCACAAATCTAGGTGAAACATAGATAACAGTAATTTTGAAGCTCCTTGGATGATTTCAATATGTAGACAAGTTTGGGAGCCACAGACTAGAATCATGCATGATGCATAATCATGTATTGAATTTTGAGCCGGGAGACTTGGGTTGTAGTTATGGCCACAAACTACTCTCATGGCTGCAGGCAAGCCCTTGTCTTCATGGCTTTTATGTCTACTTGTCTATCACTCCAACTGTAGAGCTTCCAGGTGGGTGAATTCCAAGTTATTCTGGCATCAAGACTAGGTGATTCTGGTCTTCTCTAGACTAATATTAGTCATGCTTAGAATATCCCATTTCTCAAAGAATGACTCCATTCTGAATGGTTTATTTTAGGTATTTAAAAAAATTAAACAAAACCTATGTATTTGTTTCCATATGGAAAAACTTGGAAGTATCCCTTCAATCCTGCCCTAGGTATTTTTTTTCACTTGGCTATTATGTTTATTTTTATTTTTTATTGGTGCATATTTCACTTCAGGTTCTTCTTGAAAAGGATTTTATTAACATTATGACTTTGTTTTAAATGTGTAAGATGGTTATGTTCATATCTGTTTCATGGGATATGGCTATATGTTGCTAAGTACAGTTAAAGTACAGGAAGCAGTTTTTTTGTTTTTTACTGGTAGTACAATTTTTGATAAGCCTGATTCTAAAAAACATTCTAGAATACAATAGTTTTCAAAAAGCAGTTTCATAGCAGTTATGAAACATGAACAATTTTTCAGAGCTAGTCTATGGAACTAAGGCATCTTAGTTACAGTTCTAGAATATTATAGGAAGGTTGGCTTTCTGGAGAGTGTTCAGGCTGTGCAGATTCCAGGCAGGTTGTGGTGTGACTGCTCATTCTATTGACTGATCATCCTGGCACATGAGGATCCTCTAAACAAGTGGTGTTTTGGAGGCCTGTTTGCTTTTACTCTCAGCCAGAATACTCCTGTTAGGATGGTGTGTGTTGTTCCTGATAATCTAAAAATGTCCATCATGTATATTTTTCTAGTATATATAAATTTTATTTTCCCTTTGTTTAAGGAAATTTGACAGTTTTAAAATTTTCTTTTCAAGAAATATCTAAGTGCAATAGTATGAGATATTTGAGGTCAAAGAACGGATATGATGTCCCTTTCATTTATCTTTTCCCTTTGGCAAAATGAAACATATTATCCTTTGGGCATATTTTCTTCCTTTCTTCTTCAGTAACTTCTGTTTATAAGCAGTAGAGTAGAAACAGGCACTTTCTTGGTGAGTAAGTTGCACTTTAAAAAAATTACATAAATTTTTAGTTTTATAAGGTAATAAATACATTCCCCTTATTAAAAAATGGGGAAAAAATGTTTAAAGCTTTGTGGTAGAGTTATAAAAATGTAAAACACATATATTCTTTTACCTGGAAATTTTACTTTTAGAATTTTTTTTTTAGAAATATATTTCCAAGTGATTATTCCTAGTATGTGATTATATATTTTATGTAGAAGATGTGTTAAGAGAACACAGCAAAAATAGACTTATCCAAGTTGGTATAGGGATCTAACAACAGGTCTCTGTGTCTTTTGACATCTCAGCTAAAGCTTTAGAGAGTTGAAATACTTTTAATATACATAATAGGAAATTGTTAAATCACTTAATTCTTTATTATATGAAATACTACTAGGATGCAGTATTCTCTGAAAGAATTTTTGAATAGCAGTTTGGAAACTTATGAGCTATTTTCAAGGCTGGTCGAAGGAACTAAGGGCATTTAGATTATATTTTCAAACTATTGTTACTTATGCCCAGAGTATAGGAGGTTTGGACTCTTGGAGAGTATTCAATGACTATGCAGATTCCATATATAGTCATAACCATTTGAGTGTTCTCATTGTGGTAGACTAGGTTCCCCTGCACACATGTATTGTGTGTGTGTTGTAGTTTGGACCTTTTGTTTTATTTTCAGCCAAAATTCACAATTGCATGCTATACTCACTGCTTTAAACATGTACTGTGTGTGTACATTTTTCTCTAGAATTAGTATTATCTTGTCTAGTGTTGTCTAATTGAATCCTCATGTATTTCAAAGAAATACAGTAGTACATACTACCACTGCCAGGTCTTTCATACTTTATAAATAATTCAGTGCTATTATTACTGGTTGGACTGTGAAGAAATTTGATATTGAAGATTTTTAGGTATCATTTAAAAAAATCATATTTGCTTTTAGTACTTGTTTTAAGAAGCTCAATTTTTAAAGCATAATTTTATTTTCTGTTTTACATTCTTTTTGTCCATAGAAATTTTGCTGCTGTCCATAGAAATTTTGTTGTTTCTCTTACTAAAACATTAACACTTTTTTTCTATTTTGGCTCCAGTCTTTTTCCTTAAACACATGTGAAAAGCACTAATGGAAAAAGAAGGCATCGTGGGTCTTTAATTTTTAGTGGTCACAAATGCAAAAGTTAGCATCAGGCCTGATTTCTTGATTTACTGTTTGTTGGTGCAGTGGAAGCCCTGCTTGTTGCTCATTCTTGTGGTGATGCTTGCAAGAGCGCTTTGTAATCCTTTATCATGGCAGTGTGCTTTTGGGATACAGGTTTATTTTAGAATATGAAACAAAATGCTGAATTATGAATAGGCTTGCTAAAAATACCAAGCCTGTAAGCAGTTTTTTTCTTGATAAAACCTGAGGAATATGCTGCTAAACATAAGCTATCTCCAGTTACAGTCACTGTAGTTTTATTTCCTAATGAATGCTTTTTAATACAAAATTGGGAACTGGGGTATATATAGTTCAGTAGTAGAGCACATACATACTCAATATACAAAAAGGCCCTGGTTTAGTCCCCAAGGGGGCAGGGGGAAAAAAAGGAAGGAAGGAAAGAAGGAGGAAAAGAAAATGAATTTTGCTGTGGAAAATATTGACCATCCACATATCAAGATATCATGCTGGTCAGGCACAGTGGTGCATACTTGTAATTCCAGCTGCTGCAGGTGGGGGAGGGAAGATTATCTCTTTTTGAGACTGTGCATTTTTTACTGATATTTTATTAGTCAAATTCTGGAATTAGAAGGTACTTAAACTTCTTCAGGTGGAGAAGTACCTAAGTAGATTCTAGTTTAATAAACAAACAAACAAAAAATAAAAAAAAACTGAAAAGTTGATTCTCTAACTTTCTCAGGATTTTGCCTCAGTATTTAAATTCAGTCAAGAAATTCTTAGGAATTTAATAGCAAAATGTTTACTTTTCAGTTACATTGAATGCTTACTAAGCATTCTGTCCAATTAAAAATGAAATATTTACCAAATCAGAGCTCTCTTTGCTGAAACCCAACCTCCATCTAGCTTTCTTAGAGCTACCCAGTAGGTGTCCTGAGAAGGGCAATATATAAGTAAAAGGATCCTTTAAAAAATGTAAGCCATTTGTGAGAATCCTGGTTCTAGCATTCATGTTCCTATATGAATATCAAGACATGAAGATGCTCTTGTTCATATGGTGTTATACACTACAGAGATCAATGAAACCACCCAAAAGAGCTGTTTTAAGAATACATTGTTGTTTGGTGCAAAAGGACTGATGTTTAATATCTAAAAAGTGCAGTGTTCTAGCTCTTAGAATTGCTTGTCAGAAATTCAGCAGGTAGCAGCTGTATATGTAATATTTAAAATGAGTCTTTTGTGTTTCAATGCAATGAGAATCCCATTCAGAAATTTCATCCAGAGTGTGGACCTGTTTTGCTTAGTTGTTAGGTTACATTTTATGTCAAAGGATATTATCCTTAGTTTTTAACGTTGTGTTTAAGTAGTATTTTCTCTAATGAGTATGTTGTCTGCCTCAGTAAAGTATAGGTTACTTACACCAAGCTGCTTGGTTGAAATTTCTAAAGAACTTAAACCATGTATGTTTATTCTATGTAACAACCCAAGTTAAACTGTTTTCTCCCAGGTAGATATCTGAAGATCTGTTTAAATAGTTTTGCTTGACTCGGGTAATATTTCCTTATGGTGTTATTGGCTATTGGAGACTTAAGTGATGTTACTTATCCATCCAACAGCAGTATGTATTTCATGCTGCATCTGTGAACATTATACATTTCTTAACTTACTTTCTTCACTTTTCTAGTTTTCCAGATACTTATTTGCTAGCCAGTATGTCATTTTTCCTATTTATTTAGACCCTTATATCTTGCCATCTTTTACCTTCAACATGAGAGATTCTATGAATTCCCAATTGTTTGTCTTAGTACAGCAGGACTGGTTTAGTGTGGGAAGAAACTTGATGGCTCTATTGACACAGAAGCTTGTGTTATCTCTTCTCTTTCTCCTGTTCCTTCCCCTCCTCTTCCCCTTCTCCTCCTCCTTCTGCTCACTCTGTGTGTGTGTGTGTGTGTGTGTGTGTGTGTGTGGTACTGGAGATTGAACCCAGGGGTGCTCTACTACTAAGCCTTATCCCCATCCCTTTTTACTTTTTATTATTTTTTATATTTTTTGGTACCAGGGGTTGAACCCAGAGGGCACTTTACCATTGAGCTCCATCCTCAGCCCTTTTTGTTATTTTGAGGTAGGGTCTTGTGGGGAGCCAGCCATGGGCTGTGTGTGTGAACTGTGAGCATGAGTACATGAGTGGACTGGACTGACAATGATGCCTCTCATCTGGCTGGTGATGTATGTGTCCTTTTCACTCCCTCTGCCTATGATCCCCACACAATACATGAGATGGTGTGGCCTTTCAAGATGTCTATCAATCTGCTGACCACAGACATCAGGAAGCTAGATTCAACCCTCTGAAACCTGACCCCCTTCATTGGGGTGGAACTTTCTCCAGTGTCTTCCCCTCAATAAAAAGGGAATGTTCCCCCCCCCCCTCCCTTGTTTGTCTGCCTCCCTCGTGGGAGCTGGAGGAGAGGGGAGGTCACTGAAGAATCCCAAGAAAAAGATTTTTTCTCTGTCTCGGTGTGATTATTTCATGCCAGCCCAGTTCACCTGGAGTGACCCCGAATGATTTAGTTATGTATGGAGACAGGATCTCACTAAGTTACTTAGGCCTTTTAAGTTGCTGAGGATGGCCTCCAACTTGCAATCCTCCAGTGTCAGCCTCCTGATTCACTGGGATTATAGGCATGTACCACTGAGTGGCCCTTTATATTTTTTTAAAATTGAGATGGTGTCTTGCTAAGACACCAGGTTGGACTTGAGCTTGAGCTCCTCCTACCTATGCCTTCTAAGTTGAGAGAATTACAGGAGTGTGCTATTGCACCTGGTTGCTCACTCTTCTTTACTGCAACTTTGTACACTGTTGATTTGCTTAGCAATTATTTCCTTCTTCAGCAAAAGAGATGAATTTCAGCATTGAGAAGAATTATTAACCTAATTTAGAATGGGTGTGATCTGAATTCATAGATTTTTAAGTTCTTTCTAATATAACAAATGAGAATGAGGTGGTTGCTGGGAATCTGTGGATTCTCATGAATAGTCACATTTGGAAGGGACCTAGATGAGTGTCTCACCACTGCCTGTGGAGGTCATTGCTTGAGTGTCACTCTCTTGGTAGCTTGTTGGGCATGTGCATGTAATCTTTATGTGGACCTGCTATTTCCTCATGGCTTGGGTTATTTTGCTTTATGACCATCCCTTCCTTGACCTTCAGAATGAACATCAGAGAAGCAGTTCCTACCTGTAGCTGCCAGTCAGGTTATATAGGTCAGAGGCCTTGGATCTGTCTTCTTATGTTCTTTCAGGGCCATAGAATTGGGGATAAAGGAAGAATTAATTTCTCATTTGGCTAAATGTTTTTGTTTAGCCTAAAAATATGGTGATGCTTCATATGGTCCTTGAAAGTTTATTAGCTGGGAAATATTATTTTATGCATATCAGAGTACCTAGCAGTCACTATCCTGATCCTACCCACAAAAACAAATTACACAATGGAATATAAATTTAGTTTACATTAATAAAATATGACGAGGCCACTTATTTTAAATCTAGAAGGGTTGAGAGGCTAGGGCATTTTTGTAAAATAGAAATTGGAAATAGTATAAGGTTTAGAGTAAATAGTGATCCCTGTATTGATCCCTTTGACATTTGCTTTGCTTCAGGAATCATTATGAATGTTTGTTTTCAGTTGTGCTGTAGATGGGGACCATAGTAAGAACAAGAATGGCACCTGGTAACTTCACAGTCTTTTAATAAAGGAAGGTAGAGCATGCAAGTGGAGAAATAAGGTTTCATTTTGTTTTTAGTTTTTCAATTGGACTTTGAAGTGAATATAGAGCTTAAAGAAATGCTTCAATTAGGAAATAGTTACTTGTTTTGTGAAAGGATTCGTAAGAATTATGTTATGTACTAACCTTTTTCTGTAGATTTTGCCATCTTAAACTCAGTTATTTGACATTTTGATTAGTGATCTGAGATACTTTAACACTGTAAACTACTTCCAACTGAAGATGAAGTAGAAATCAAGTTTCTCAGAAATGACATTGTCACTATTTCCCTTAGTGTCTGGTTTTCAATTGTTTTATCTGTAACTTTCTGGTAACCTAAAATACTTGTGCTACTTCTTGTCAGTGGGGCTTCTCCAAACGGTGTAATGTGATAATTGTAATGAACATGTTAGTATTCATTTTGAATCATTCTGGCTATTTATTAAACTATTCAAAAGAATGTCTGAGGTATTGCAGACTATCTCAAATCATGCTATGTTTTACGTTAAATAGACATGTAAAATGACATTTAATATTTTATATACTTTTAAAAATAAAAAAAATTCCATGACATTGAATTTAGAATTAACTTGTAAACTGTAAAATGATTTTTTAAAATAATTCATTGAGGATGTGGAACGGACAACATTTGCAATGTTTGGGGGAACCTTATTCAGAGACTCCTCCATACCCTAAAAATATATATTTTCAGGTCTAAATTGAATTCTTCAAAAAAAAAAACTGACCAGCGTGATCAATTTTATAATATGGCTCTTAAACGCAATTGAATGTAATTTCAGGTATAAAGAGCCAACCACTTACATGAATTTAAATGAGGAAAAAAATATAATTCTCAAGTTGAAAATACTTTGAAAATTCTTGTGAAACTTTCTCTGCTTGCTTTTATTTGCTTAATGTTGAGATCTGGATTTGATTTGCTTCATATTGTATCAAGGAGCAAACTTTATCTGGTTGCAGGGTGTATTAGTACTAGAGGAGTATTATTTTCTGTTTGTGTTTTCATATATACTTTTTCATAGTACTTCAGGCTTTTGTTTAATTTGCTTGAGTTCTTGCAGGCAGAGAGGTAGTGGTCCTTTCGTTTACCTAAATGTCCAATAGACGTGGAGAAAAATCTGTCAATTTGTCGTCAGCTACCTTTCAGATGAGTCTCATTTCATGGCTTCCCGACTTCTAAAATCATCCAGCATGACTTAAGGTTCTGTGCATTACACTCTTCTAATCTGAGTCTGTTTACTTTTAGGAGTGTGCAGATTGGTGCCTAAAATGGAAGTAGACATAAATGGGGAGTCCAGAAGTACCCTGACCACCCTACCCTTGCCTGTGGCTGAGGTGAGCTCCCCAGGAAAAGCAGAGGCGGAGAAGCCTCGCTGCTCCAGCACACCCTGCTCACCCATGAGGCGAACTGTGTCAGGCTACCAGATCCTCCACATGGACTCTAACTATTTGGTTGGCTTCACAACTGGCGAGGAACTCCTGAAGTTGGCCCAGAAGTGCACTGGAGGTGAAGAGAGCAAGGGAGAAGCCTTGCCTTCCTTTCGCTCCAAACAGCTGGATGCAGGACTTGCACGTTCCTCTCGTTTGTATAAAACCAGAAGTAGGTACTACCAGCCATATGAGATTCCAGCTGTCAATGGCAGGAGGCGAAGGCGGATGCCCAGCTCAGGAGACAAGTGCACTAAATCCTTACCTTATGAACCTTATAAGGCCCTCCATGGGCCCCTGCCTCTTTGTCTTCTTAAAGGTAAGAGGGCTCACTCCAAATCTCTGGACTACCTCAATCTAGATAAAATGAACATCAAGGAGCCAGCTGACACGGAAGTGCTACAGTACCAGCTTCAACACCTAACCCTCCGCGGGGACCGAGTGTTTGCTAGGAATAATACATGAATGACTCTCACAGTTTAAGTCACTTTAGGTCAGCCTGCACTTGGCTAGAGAAAATCCACTGTTGTACTCTGTACATGACTCTTCACATTATAGATGGTTATATCAGCTAAGTGTCCCTGGAATATAAAAATTGTTTGGATCAAATTTTGAATACAGGAATGAAATCACAGGTACTTGGGGGGAGGGTATCATGCTAGAGCACGCAACTGCAAAGAAAACAGAATGTTGACCGTTAGTTTGTATAGCTCTTTAGCTAGGAAACAAAAAACAAACAAACAAAAAAAAGGCTTTGGGACAGTAATTTCATCTTTATGATTCTGACACTCAAATTGGGAATGTTATCTGCTTGGTTGTTGCTGACTTGGTATGATTCATTAGAAATTTATATCTTAAGTACACAAGTACTTCTTGAAACTCTGTATTTTACTATAAAATGTATGTAATGATTTGTTTTATGAAATTTAGAACTTGAACATTGCTGAATTGGACCACTTTTTATTTTTAAATATTGAGTTTAAATATTTTATAACTGGTTTTGCACTGAAAAAAATTAACATTTCAGATTAAGAGAATAATCTTTCTTCACTTGTCTCAATAATATTATTGAGCAATGAATTTTTTATTTCCGCATGGAAAGTTATTGATCTCTATGGCTGTAAAATATTTCTTTATAGCGTTATTAAAGTGTGTCTTAATAAAATTAAATTTGGGATACAAAGTATTTATTTTACAATGGGTGGGTGGGGGGGGGGGGGGGTCTTTTTCAAAAAACCCATTATTTGAAGTTTTCATGAGTTGAAAAAGTTTCCTTAGTGCTTATTTTCTAATTTAAAATTCACTTGGAACTTTACAATGGAAAGGATTCTTTTAATTGTGGGTTATAGGCATAAGACTGTTTGCATCTGAATTTTCTGTAAGTGAATGGGACTTTAATAGAAGATCTCATGATTTCTACTATTGAATGCTTAAACTAAGTATGAACTTAATTCAGCATGGCATTGGGTCATTCCAGTTTTAGTTCTGTGCAACACAGCACTCATTGAAATTCCAGTTTCTAGGATTAGTGTAGGAGACTAAAGTGCTTCTGTAATTTTAATGGGTTAATCCTGGATTACTTAACAATTTATGTCAATTGCACTGGTTCAATTTGTTGCTAAAGAAATAATGCCCTGGCTTTAGTAACAAATACAGCTCAACTATTCTTGAATATATTTTGGAAAAAATGTATGTAACTTACCTTTTGTAAACATTTCTCTTTCTTTTTTTTTTCCTTTCACTCTTTTGTTCTTTCTTTTTTTTTCTTTTTTGACTCTTGAAGGTGCAATTTATTACTAATCTGGCATCTCTGGCAACATAAAACCGCATATTTTTGTTTTACTGTGGGGAGTGTGAGGTTTCTCGGGTGTTAGCAATCTTGCTTATAAAAATAAGAACACCTTTTAATTAATGAGTGGGTCATTCCTGGCACAATTGTGATTTTTTCCTTTAGCCAGGAAGAATGGCAAACTTTATTTAGAGCAAAGTAAGTATTAGGAAACCCTAGGAACTCTTAATCAATGTTTATTGTACTTTTACTAAGGCAAACCATGTGGAAGAGCCTTGGGAGGTTGGCGCATATCTTACTGAGTTGATCAGATTTCTTGGTGGGCTGGAAATTTTCAGCTATTGTATATTTTAAAGTAAATTGCACCTTTGTAACATATTGTATTGATGAATGATCACTAAGATTAACTATATCTATACAGTCAATAGTTTGACAAGAAATAGAATCCTGTCAGATGCCAAAGAGTTGGGATTTTTACGTTTAATGATTAAACACCATTATTTATTGATGACTTACCCTGTGGAACTGTATTATTTCTAACTATGAAATAAAAGGGTGATGTAAACACATACTGTTATGTGGTGCTTTAAAATAGATCCACCATCAACAGGCTAGTTATTGCTTAAGAATTTTACCTAAGCATGTACTTTAAGACCCTAACTTTGTGAAACAAAAACCAGAAACATTTACTTTTGATGTTCATTGGCACTTCAAGACAAGGCAAATTATTCCTGGCAATGATATGTATTCCATTTACTAGGGAACCAAACTATTTTCTTGTGTGATTCATTGCTGTCTAGGTGCCTAAATTTCTTGAGTTAAATAAAAATATAGAGCTTTTTTGTTTGGTTATGTGTTTTTACTTAAGGACAGGTGATATTCACAAAAGGACTTAAAGTATAAGATATGGCATATTTGCTGTTTCCTGATGAGTAAAGATAGATAATTTAAATTTTGGTTTCCAAAAACAAAACCAAAAAACCCTTCAAATCCTAGATTAGTAATTTTCTTGCATTGTTTTGTTTTGGCAGGGATTGAGTCCAGGGACACTCTACCATTAAACTACATCCCCAGCCCTTTTCAGTTTTTATTTTGAAAAAGCGTCTCACTAAGTTACCAAGAATGGCCTTAAACTTGTGATCTTTCCATCTCACTTCTTGAGGCACTGGTATTACATGTGTCACTGGGCCTGGCAGCTAGTAGTTTTCTAAATGATTTGCAAAGTCTCTTCATTAGTTCAGTTTCACTTTTTCTGTGCTCCATGGAATTGTTCTCGTATGGTGGGTAGCATTTTTTTAATTAATTAATTTATTTATTTATTTATTTATTTATTTTAGTAAATGGATACAGTATCTTTTTATGTTTTTATTTTTATGTGGTGCTGAGGATCAATCGCAGTGCCTCACACATGTGAGGCAAGAACAGCACCACTGAGCTTCAGCCCCAGCCCAGGTAGCATTTCATTAAAAAAAACCAAAAAACTGGGGGGTGGGGGTGGGGGGAACCTTCTAACATAGTTTCTATTTTTCAACTCTTTTTAAAAATCCAATTTAATATTCCATACTAAGTAGGACATGCTTCTGGCCATATACCTGATGATGTAATCTTACAGTACTTATTGCCCTAAAACATTGCTATAATATATAACTTTAATCTTTTTTTCAAATGTGTTCGAGGCTCAGATGATGCATTAAGTAGCAATAGAATTTCAGTCCTTGCCTGAACCTGAGTTGAGCCTCAGTCCTTGCCTGAATCTCTTATGTTCCTTTTACTTCCATCCAGCAGCACCGGATGCAGGGCTTCTCTGGTCAGCAGTTATAGAAGAAAAGACTGAACCTGTAAATCCATTCACCGCCCCCTTTTTCCCACCTCATCTTCTGGACTCCTACTCAACTGGACTACTACTGTTCCATGTCCATCAAGTCCTATTGATTTCTCCCCATGTCCCATAATGTCCATCTGTGGATTGCTGGGTCTTTTTCCTTCCCTGAGGTTTACTTAAATGATTTTAATATTTGGGCTTTGGGAAGCTTTTAGAAGATTCTGAATTAATTTTTAAAGGCAAATTGGTCTTTCTCCAGAGAAGGAATATTTCTTGCAATCTTGAGAAAATCAATGCATTTTTACTTATTTTCTCATCCTAACATCCATTTGTCTAGGAAAGGTTTTTATTCCATTATAACCATTGAACTTTTTATAAGGAAACTTTTGAATCACCCTGGCCTGAGTGGTTTGTCCTCAACAAGAATAAGGAGGAGGAGAGCCCATTACAGTTGATAAATGGTATAAATGTTCTGGAGGAGTTGGGATGGAGAGGGAGCAAGGACGTACATTATTGTAATGCAGAGTACAGTAAGTATTAAGTAAAATTGCCTTTTTAAACAATGTAATTTGATTAGGGAAATAGAAATTGATGAGGAAGATTGCCTGGGAAATACAATAAATGTGATTACAAAACTAGAAGTGGAGGTTGTCAGCACTTAATGATGCACTTCTTGTTGTAATGCAGTTCTTTTGATAAGAATTGTGAAATGGACTTCTTTGATATTTTACATTAGAAAAAAAATTAAGGATTTTTTTCTGGCTGAGAACAGTAGAAACAATCAAAAAAAGAATGGCTTTGATTTGTTAATATTGAGTTTGCCAAGCCCCTGGACACTACTGTAGTGGGGGAGATGTTGGGATGGTTTTCTTACCATTTTGAAATGACTTTGTACAAGGTTTCCTTAAATAGTTTCAGAGACAAAGTCTGAAACAAAATCTCAACATTGTCACCCCTGATCTTGGGGTTGTGTTTGATGTATAGATCTATGGGAGGGCCCAGGGTGAGAAAAGAGAACTCAGCATCTACTGGGATAGAAGCGAGTAGCTGTGCAATCAGTGGAGTCCTTAAATGATCCCGGCTGGGGTTACTTCTGGAAAGGAGAGCTTTGATGCTTTTGCTTTTGTGGAAAAGCTAGCAGCACTTTCAAAGTTCCTTCTGAATGTTCTCCAGAAAGTGACCTTACTGTGTGCCAGTGGAAAGAGGAGGGAACATTGTGTCCATGATGTTGACCTTTAGTCTGATTGACCAGGAAGAGTATTCTTCACCAAACTTTTATGTTAAAGGATTACACTTGAAAATATATATTTGGAAGACTTCGAATCCTATACCCCTGGCTTAATGCTTCAGTTAGGCAAAGGAACTTATGCAATAAAAAGTTTTTTGATCTCTATCAGATCAGTTCCCAGCTAAGGGGAGAGCATGTACACCATCAGGCATGTGGCAGACATCACTAATCCATCCCTGCAGCCTCACTTGGAGTCCAATGGCCTTGTTATCTTTCTTAACCCAAGTATCACACAACTACTACAGAATTGATAGCAATGCCTAGGAGGTACAACATGTTTGCCCACCACATTCCAACACCCCTTGCAATGGATGACAATGTAAAATGAAAAATGGTATGAACAGTCTTGACATTTTGGACAGTGCCTTTTAACCCCAAAGCAGAGGAGAATGGTGCTGCCAATGTCACCACAAAGCATGGACTGAGCATGTGCAGGGACTCTGGGAATAGAGGGTTTGAGACAGTTTTCACCTTCAAGAATAGGCCTATTTGGAGAGGTGGAAAAGATACCACAAGACCATGCAAAGTCAGTGTTTTGTAGATTAAATAGCAATTTAAGAGAGGGAAGCTTCAGTCCTGTGGGACTGAAATCCAAGAAAGAAGTCTTGTTCATTTTTCTCTCAGTAGCCTACCCAGCTTATTGATGTGCTCACTTACATTGCTGATCTGTATAAAAGCTGAAATGTAAAGATTTTTTTTTTTTTTTCCTCAAAAGTGCCTTTGTAAGAAAGTCTGGGGAGACAAACATAGGCAGAAGGCAAAATCTTAATAAGTGACTCTGAGAAGGATCAGGGCATGCCAACTGTGTTCAGTTGTTACCTTTACTGTGTCCTCGGTTTGTATGCTAAGATGAATTGACCTACTTTCTAGAAAAGCTGAAGCATTGAAGCTGGTAAATAGATATTTTTTTGTGACTTTTCCCTCTTGTCTTGCCATTCTCTTTATTCTTGTGTGCAGATGACACAGGAGGTTTACTTAAGTATTTAAGGTCAGAAGCACATTAAAAATATGTACTCTTGATTTAGTGCATAGAAAAAATGCAATCGAAAGTATTTTGCTCAAGAAGTTTCCTAATGCAGCAGCTTTGTTTGCAGAATCCCTTCATTAGTTTGGTCTTACTTTGTCTGCACTACATGGAATTGGACCCTATGGTAGATAGTATTTTATTGAGAGAAGGGGGCGCGGGGGATAGGCTGGATTTTTAAGCTGAAAAAAAATCTTGTCTAACAGTTTCTATTTCTAAACTCTTTTAATAAATCTTTTGAAATAATAAACTTA